AAGAAAGAAAGAAAGAAAGAAAGAAAGAAAGAAAGAAAGAAAGAAAGGAGCCATTTCCTCCTTTCAGTGGCCCATGAAAGCACATCTATAGTATGCAAATAATAAAGTCAAAAAAGGTGAACATGTTTTTTTTAAGAACAAGTTTTATTGATTTTTGAAGACAAACAAAACATAACACATAAAAGTATAAAACCTCCTTTCTAAGAATTACTTATAAATTTTAAGAAGGCAAATAAAGCATTATTTTTTAAAAACATAGTTCCACATTATCATATTTCCATTTACACATATATATCTTTTCCCAATTTCTCATTATTTCTCCCTTCACTTTTGTTCAATTATATTTCTATCAAAATTTTAGTAATTCTCAATCAGTCATAAGCACACAAAATACATAACCTAAAGCAAAACATTAAAAAAAAACCTCCTTAGTTATCATTTATACATGTCTTTTCCCAATTTCTCTCCCTTTGATTTCATTCCTCCAAGATTTTATTAATTTACAATCAATCATAAATAATCAACACACAAAACATAAAACATAGAACTTCTTTTGAAAAGTGACTTAGGTCCGGGTTACATCTTTTTTGACAGACCTAAATCAAATTCATGCCCACCTTATATACCCTTCATATCTTATTAACCATTTTATATTTTCTATATAACTTCTCCCATCTTTTCACTTTCTTAATAATGTTTTATTTATTTCATCTTATTTCAAAATCATTATGCTTATATCTTTTGTCCATTCTATTTATCTCTTCTCTTTAACAAAAAATTTCCCCTGTAATCACTTTTAAAGTATGACGCCTTCCCCTAAAATAAAACTTAAAATAATACATAATTTCCATCCTGATTCTGCTTAGTACATTCTACATATTAAATCTTAAAATAAAAGAATAGTAAACTTATAGTATAGTTAAATGTATAATTTCTATTCTAATTCTAATTCTGATAAGTACATTGTTTTAGAATAAGAAAATAAAATACTAAGGTTATAATAACATTAAAACAATAACAAAAGGTGAACAACATTTTTACTGAACTATAGATAAGTTGAGGCTGGGTGACAAGGAATGGCTGGGAGGGGATGGGCCAGGTGAGGCACCCCTTGATGTGAGTGACATTGAGTTGGCCATGCCCACCCAGTCACATGACCACCAAGCCATGCCCACCCAGTCACATGACCACTAAGCTACACCCACCAAATAAGCCACGCCCACAGAACCGGTAGTAAAGAAATTTGAATTCCACCACTGTGTTGAATAGCTTTACATCATCAGCGAAGAGAATGCAGTTGCTGTTAATATGGTCACAGAGGTCATTTATGTAGAGTATGAAGAGAGTTGGTCCTAGAACACTGCCTTGGGGGACACCACTGTTGACAGGTACAGAATTTGTTAGGACGCTCCCAATTTTGACCATTTGTTGTCTGTTTGACAGGAATGCTTCTATCCAGTTATGCAGGTGTCCAGAGATACCATAAGATTTTAGCTTTAGGAGTAGTTTGTCCTGTACCACTGAATCAAAGGCTTTACAGAAGTCTATGTAGATTGCGTCTATTGCTTTGCCCTGGCCAAGTTGTGTAGTCCATATGTTTTTGCAGTGTAAGAGTTGCAGATTACAGGATAGTTTTTTTCTGTAACCAAATTGTTTAATAGAGAGTAGGTTGTTTGTCTCTAAGTGGAGGATAATGGATTGGTTAATAATTGATTCCATGAATTTACAGGTGACGCAGCATAAAGACTAAGCTGAAAATTACAGACCAATCTCTTTATGCTGCATCACCTGTATTCATTCATTGAAGGAATATTCATTGGAAGGAAGGATTCATGTGACTTTGACAAAGGGTTTATTAACTGCAACTTCCAGATAGGTCTGGACTCTCATCCTGAGAACCTTTGATTAACTCATTGGCTGCCAAGAATCAATGGACAGACTTTGGATTTTGTTACTGCTGACACTTGCCTTGGCAGAGTCTCCTAGTCATCCAAGAGGACTGTTTATTAACTTAGTAAGTGAATGTGAGATATCCTTATTTTAATCCTTCCAGAATTATTTTCTTTTAGGTTTGGACATGTATAAGGCTAAGAATAATTTGCTCTGGTCCTATTCTTCTATTTAAAAAACCTGCAGCATTATTATTCAGTTGATAATTGAATAATATGCTGCAACTAATCACACATGCAATCAATCTAGGGTACTATGTAAATCAGAACATAATCATAGATCAATGTCAACACATGACATTCCATCAAAATTCCTGCAAAATGATTATACAGCTGGTGCAGGCCAACATAACCTGGTTATTACGCAGTGCGCTAACATATTTTTATGGAGAATGTAGTGATGAATCTAAAGAGAAAAGGCTTTTCATAAAAGAATAGATATAGAAAAATGAAAAGAATGGGCAAATTGCTGAATTAACATCTTGTTTCACACATTTACCTTCTGGTTTCACATATGTTTTCCTCTAGAAGAATGGGGAGTTGTGTCTTAATAGCTTACAGTGCAAAAGCCTCTGCTGTCACCGACCCAAAGGATTAAGTTTGGCTCGCTGTGCAAACAAGGCAGCTGAAAACCAAGAATGTTCCCTAAAAGTGAGTGTCATTTTTTAAAAAAAAAATTATATGCCCATCATGAGAGAATCAGAGAGACATATTCTATTCAGCATGACAGCAATTAAGTGTTCAGCTAGTAGCACAGAAGACAACTTTAAAGTAACCATGATATGCCTTGCGCAAAACAAACATTATGAAATAAAATTATATATAAAGCCATTGGCACTATTATTGTAGGAAAATGAATAATTTAAAAGTGAAAAACATTTGTATTGAGAAACATATGTCAGGGAATTCATAGCTTAATGTTGGTCTATATCCCAGGCTAATATCTCTGTTTTCTGCATCTTGGGGAAAATGTCCAAGACTAAGGAGAGATTGTTATGAATGATGGAAAAAGATACACACACACACACACATATATATTTCTATCATTCATAACAATCTCTCCCTAGTCTTGGACATTTTCCGTGTGTGTGTGTGTGTGTGTGTGTGTGTGTGTGTGTGTCTGTATTCCTATAAGCCTAGGGATAATGATCTGTATCTTTCTGTTTCCTGCAGAGTTTATATGGCGTTTACTACAAGTGCCCTTGTGAGAGTGGCTTAATCTGTGATGCTGATCGGACCATTGTGGGAAGTATTGTCAACTCTGACTTTGGCATTTGCAAGGACCCATCAAATTTTGTCATCAACAGTGACAAAAAAGAAAGAAAGAAATATGGTGAATAGATTTACCTTGGATCCTCAAGTAGCCATATGTATTATTACTTTTGTTGCAAAACAAATTCCTATGCTTTTACATACTGCTGCAATAATCATGTCCTTTATTGATCTAGATTTCAGTTAGGCTTAAACATTTTTTTTCATCCACTCTACTCAAAATTAGGCCTTGCCATACATTTTTGGTATTGTATCAGCAAGCAATAATATCTGGCTCACCTTACTAACTCTTGGAACCAAATGTAGGATGGAGCAGCCAGTGATCGGAAGAAAAATTATTAGGTAAAAATGCCATGGCTATGGCCTAGACTGGGAAGCTGAAACAATATCCTGACAAAGTATTTGCATCAACAGGTGTGAAGATACCAGTACTTCTTCAAAATGTATGTAGAAACCTATTAGCGCTAGGCATGTTCATTCTCCTTTAATGAGGAATATCTTCCCCCTCAGTACTACATTTTTAGAATGGCTCATCTTTCACAAAACCAGAGTGAGGAGACAGAGGTGGTTCCCAACTCTCATGAAATTACAGATCAAGAACTGAGCAGAAAATAGACAACAACAGCAACCAATGTGCAGAGGAAGAAAATGTATGTTAATTGGGAAAGGATTTTTTTTATTATTATTATTATTAAGGCAGTGCTTTCCACTCTATTCTGGTGGTCTAGCAATATAGTGAGTTCTAATAACTGACTTTCTCTGTAAGGAAATTTGATTTGCGCAACAGCAAATCAATTTGATTTGCACAATAGCAATGTAAGATGAGCTAGAATGAGGGATAACAAGTGATTAGGTGAAAAACACATAAGTAACATCATTGACTGGAATGTCCAGGTCCAAGGCACAGTTCAAAAGTATCAGTAAAATTTCTTCCAACCAAGCTGGCCTCTTGGTCATTTTTCATAGAAAGCTCAACATAAGTTTCTTTATAGAAACATGGATAGGGTTCCTATTGCCTTCCTTGGGCTATTTTTTTTTTCAACTACCCAGTCTAATTGGCAGTCTTAATATGATCTACAAGAGTAGCAACCATTTTTAGCTTCCAAGACCAGACAAGTTCTCCAAGCCATGTCAAACATGCAGGACTAAATTAAATGATGTTACATTTATCACAAACCATTATTCGCTGTACTTCCTACCGGTATTTTACTATTTATATTGGTATTATCTCTTTCCTATATTCTTTTAAAAATACATAATGAAAAGAAGAAAATAATAATATCAGCAACTGTCTACCCCAAATTGTCCCTTTGACTAAGCCTGCTTTGCTACTGCTCTAATTTGTCTTCCAGCCAGTTTTTTTCCGCAGGGAAAATGTTACTAGACTTAGGAATATTCAAAGATCGTGCATCAAGCAAGTAAGGAACTGTTTAGTTTAGAAGAAATTGGCAACCATTTGGACAGTTAATAAAATGTATATTAATGCATTATTGACAGGGCCTGACTTTTGATAACCCTATATGTCTATCTGCCTGCCTGCCTCTCTCCCTATCTACCTACTGCAATATGTCCTACTCTGAAAGCTGCCATTCTGAGAAGTTCTGTCTTTTGGAAATGACTTCTGGATGAGAGTTAATAAAAATATACAATCGAATGCTTTGCCATTTTTAATGATTTGTCACACACATCTCTAACACATTGTATTATTTCTGGCAACAATTTCATTTTAAGTTACCTGCCATTCTGGGTAATGTTTAATTGTGATGACATAAAAGCCTGAATGAAACACCACCCTAGGGGTTATTTTGGACTGCTTAATTTTGGCTTTTACATCATCCCAATTAATCATTAAAGAGAACAGTAAGTGATGCTTAGAAGTAGCTTAATTAAAAAGAGTTATAAGAGTAATATATACATAAACAGTAGGTAGGTTGAAATACCACGTTAAATCATAGTTGTCAAATAAGCTACAATGACTTGGTTAACACATAAAGCAGAGGTCTAAATCATATTTTCCCAATCACAGCATCTGAATTTACATTATGCACTGAGCAAAAGTTAAGCAAGTAACTTAAGAGGCAGCCCAGTCAGAGGGAAGAGAAAGAGACTGTCAAGAGACTGTGCAGCAATTGTGGAGTTGACTTCCAAAAAATGAATTGAAGCCTCCAGTATGATACACCAATGTATCACCTGCATGTAGCATCTTAAAATTGACGTGCTTTCCCTAAATCATGGTTGAATAGGAAGCTCTCTACAATCTAAAGTTACACGGGCTCTTCTATTGGGTGAGTCATCCGGGGATTTGTGAAACAGAAGCAAGTTATTCAGAAGGACACAAAGATCAGCTCCAAGTCAGAGGACAAGCAAACCTACAAATCTCTTAACTCAGAAACCAAACAGTAGCATCAGTAGAGAAAGAACAGGTACAAGCCCTACTATGCCTTATTCTGTTCTGGAGAATTCTGAGCTGGAGTAGAAGCAAGGCCTCCCAGTTTTGGGAATGTTGGTAGCACTGATGACATCTACAGCAAACCATAATAATCCCAAATGATGATACGGGCAGAATGGCATCATCATACTGTACATATAACATCATCACGTACAAGTATGTAAGTTACAGCATGTGCATGATTATATGATATGCCAGCTTCATCATATGTCCACATTATCTCTCCTCTAGACATCCATGGGAGTAGTGGGGAAAAAAAGGAGGAAGGAGTGGCTGTTTGTAGGGAAGGACATCCAAGGAAGGCTGAAGCTTTGGAAGTCTAAAAGCATACATCAGGGAAAATCAGCGTCAACTGCCCCTGGCTAGAGAATAAAGGAACCCTGGTTGTCAAAGTCCACTCAGAGGGAAGGTCATCACTGTTATTTGTTTTGTCTGAATTCCTGAGAATATTTACAGCTGGAACCAATTATCTTTGGGAATGTGACTTGTGCAGTTTTATCTCTTTGATTGACTCAGGCACAAGTACTGCTTAACTCCTTGCATCCCTGGTGAAAACTTATGGCTTCGCAAACATGTTCTGCAGCAATTGAATTTCTAGATTAGGCTGTGAAAATACATATGAGAGAAGACCTGGGAAATGTACTCGTATTTTAATTGAAAGAAAGGTTTGTGTAAGTTGGATAACATTGTGTGTGTGTGTGTGTGTTCCAAAAGGATGACAATAAACTTTTAAGCAATTTTAAATAGTTTGAAAGGGAAAGGACATTTGTTCAATCAACTTTGCTATGATATGCTAAGCCAACCAAATTTTAGCAAGGTGTAGCTTTGGACTGAAATCACTGAAAGGTTATTTACAATGCTCCAATAAAAGAAAGAGAGGATATGGTTATTATTTGTAGTGGAATCTCCAGCTAGACTGGAGGGAAGTGTTAAGAAGGATACAAGTTCAGAGTCTTTGCATTGCAGAAAGCAGCACAGGCCTGCCCTGCCCCAGAATCCCTAATGCCTGGTCTGCCTGTTCTCAAGGAAATGCAGTCAGCCTAGTGAATTTCTTGTAACATAGCTGACTAAAAATAAAGCTTCTGTTTGAGATTATTTATGAGTGGTTTAGGTTGCTTACACCTGTCAGTATTCAACACCTCAGTGACAGAAAAGGGACTGATTTTTTAAACTCTTCAGAAAAGGGCTGATTTGGGAGAGGCAGGAATATTGGTCTCTTTTGCACTTTTCTTTTTGTAGAGAGACAGAAAGACACTTTCCTTTATTTGCCAACCCACTTTATTAGTCTCTTTTTTCATCTGTACAACTGCCCCCTTCAAGTGCTGTTGTCATTTTCATCTGACCTAGCAACTGGGGGAGTGTGAAAACTATCCATGGGTTCCTCCAGGACACGCTCACTACCCACCATACTGATATACGGAAGGGGCTGGAAGCTATGATCAGCTCTCTCAAGGGGATAAAAGCTATGGCCAGTCTCATTGGTACCTGGGAGAGGGTGAAAGCTGCCATCACTAGTCTCATTGGTGCCCAGGAGAGGGTGAACGCTGCTATCACTAGTCTCATTGGTGCCCAGGAGAGGGTGAAAGCTGCCACCACTAACCTCATTGGTACCTGGGAGAGGGTGAAAGCTGCCACCACTAATCTCATTGGTGCTCGGGAGAGGGTGAAAGCTGCCACCACTAATCTCATTGGTGCTCGGGAGAGGGTGAACGCTGCCACCACTAATCTCATTGGTGCTCGGGAGAGGGTGAAAGCTGCCACCACTGTTCCTGTGAGGAGCATCAGAGGAAGACTCAGTGGTTGGGATTAAAGGCTGGCTAATAAGGGAGGCATTGGCAATCTGGCTTTGTCTAGTGGATTCAAGAGGGTAACCACTGAGTTCAGACCCTAGAGTATGCCCACTAAAGATCCTGCTTTCTTCCTTGTTTATCTTCAGGCTGAGGATCAATTTGCAAGCCTGAGTCTGCACGTCTTCTTCAGGATGGACAATGAGAGCCAGCAAGCGCTCAGAAAGGCGGGAATTGTCACCAAAGATGATTTCATGGAGGGAGTTTTTGTTATAGTCCCACTGCATTGACTGGTACTGCGGAGATTGGCGCCCTTCGCTAAGTCGTTCCACAAATGCTAACATCTTGCAAAGCAGATTCCCAGGGTGAGAAGTCTGGAAGAGGTTCAGGAAGTCAGCGGGTACCTTGGAGGAAAAGATGAAAAAACTTCATTCACAATACTTCAGTTCAGAGCCTTCCTCCTCATTCTTTCCTCTCTCCTCATCAACTCAAGGGGTGAAAGGTAACACTAACCCTGGCTACCCCATTCTCAAGCTGGACACTGCACGTTGTCACAAAAAGGGAAAGAAAATAAGATATCAGTTTGTTTAAATTCATAATTAAAGGTGCCCTGAATTTCATTAAATGGAAGAAGACTGTAATCACGTTCTCTGCATGCTAGTTCAGCCTGTTATCCAGGAGAAGTGGATGGACAGCTTCTCTACTGTTAAGTGTCACAATGCATACCTGTCCATCCTTTGATGTAGGCCAGATCAGGATACTACATGACAAGGATTACAAGAATACAACAGTACTGTTGTAGGGTATAATAACATTAGCTTGAAAGCCTGCCA